TGAAATGATGCCACCAGTAGTAAATCCCCACACTATACTGAATCCAGTCACTCCAAAAGAACAATGGTTCTCAGTGATAGACTTATCAAACGCTTTCTCAGTGCCTTTACACCCCGACTCACAACACCTGTTTGGCTTCACTTCTGAGAGACAGAGCCCTCACCTGAGAGGGTGTGCCTCTCAGGTGAGGGCAGACAAAGAGCGATTCAGAAGACCCTTATGAAAAGAATATCGAGGGAACAGTTTACCCTGCCCGGGATAGGGTTACCGGGGCCCCGCCCTGGAGCCAGGCCCGGGGAGGGTGCCCGAGGGCGAGCGTCTGGTGGCCGGGCCTTAGTCCATGGGGCCCGGCCGGGCACAGCCCGAAGAGGAGACGTGGGCCCATCCTCCCGCAGGCCCACCACCCGCAGGAGGCGCCATAGGGGTCGGGTGCATTGTGTGCCGGGTGGCGGCCAGGAGCGGAGGCCCTGGCGGACTAACCCCCGGCTGCCAAGACTGGCAAACCTTTCTAATAAATCTAATTATTTTCACATTCTTTTAACTCAAAAGTATGACTCAAACTAAAACTACATACTGATTATACAAGAAGTATGATGTGGCCTACAGCAGTATCATGATTCACTCATTTTGATTACAGGTACAATGTAATATATAACGGCATAATAATCTCACAACTGCTACAAGCACATTTGCCTTTCTTAACACACGCGAGAGAAAGGCAGCTGTTAAGAAAATGCCCTTTTGGGTGAGACAGGCCCGCAAGCCCTGCATGCAAGCGTACTAACACACATACATGCAATGAAGAGCAGCTTACACTAAAGCACACACTATACATGCGCCTATATCTCTCATTGGTGTTAAAGCAGGGAAAACTTAAGAGTTTTGTTATCAAATGCTGAATTTATCCACTGCTGACATTTAACTCTCCAGCTTGCAGTATAGGTGAAACGTTTGTGAAAACAGAGAAGAAAAAATAAAGACAGAGAGAGTCTGGTATGACCAAGCAGTAATCAGACAATAAATTTAGTTGGTAATACAATGAATTGTGAGATGTTTTCTGTTTGATTGATGCAACACAAATAATTTACTGTATGAAGGAAATTCTCTTTTGTGATAATATTTTGAATGTGCATTTCAGTTGACCTGTCAACTTAGCGCATTATAAGCTGATATGCAAATTAGTTGGTTGATACTAGATTTGGAAAAATGACTGGATTATAAAATAAGGGTTGAGATTAGTTTCTTATTTCTAGTGTGTGGAGGAAGGTTTTATCATGGCACACATCTGTTTACATGAGAGGAAACTCCTTATGTGATATGACATTTAGCAATTTGCAAATGTGCAGCACATCAGAAGGATGACTCTGAAATTACAAAGGGAAACAATTTTGCTGACAACGCTGCAAAAGCAGCAGCCATAGCAACCACAGTCTTATTAACAACTCATGAAAACCACACCATTCCACTATCTGTACTGCAGGACGAACAAAAAGCAGCACCACCAAAAGAACCAAAACAATGGCTGAAACACGGAGCAGTACTGGACACTGATGACATAATGAAAATAGCAGGAAAACCCATTCTTCCCGAATCATTGCACAAAACAGCCGCTCTAGTGAGGCATGGTTTGAGCAATGTCTCAACAGGAGGGATGATCTGAGGGATGGTCTTTATAATAAACCGACAATTCTACACTATAAATTTTGAAACTTCAGCAAAAGAATACGTGAGAACATGTATGACCTGCCAAAAACACAATACCCAAGGTAACTTAACGGTGTGTTCACACCGAACGCGATAGACGCACATTTGCACCTCAATGCGTGTCCAAGAAAAATCCATCGCGCCTCAAAATTGCATATTTTGACACGCGTGAACCGGAAATGTGGGAGGGATGTGGGAGGAAGTTGTGCCAGACCAGTATCTTTGCTAGATGGCAGCTGTCGAGCTAGCATTTGAAGAGAGAGTCTACGTTCTCTATTTACTGTGGAGAGCAGAGCAGCGGCGTTAAGGACGTCCTCGCCGTACCTGGGTCCATCAGATCCTCCAGACACGTGAGCAGTTTGGTGAGTTTCACCACTTGCTCCAGGAGCTGCGCCTGGATGATTTTAGCGATATCACCGTCTTTCACTCGTACAGTTTGAGGACCTGCTGTCCTGCATCGGTCCTAGAATTGCCCGCCTAGACACCAACTACAGGCGCTCAATCCCACCTGCAGAGCGCCTGTCCATCTGGTTAGTAAAAGTGTTTACTACGGTAGTCCTTTATTGATAAGACCAAAAAGAGGACATTTTCCTACACCACCCATTTCATACAATTCACATGGACTTCATTGAATTGAATGAGTGTGATGGCTCAAAATACGCTCTAGTAATTATAGATGTTTTCTCAAAATGGTCAGAAATCTACCCAGTGAAAAAAGCAGACGCAATCTCAGTTGCAAACATATGGTATTCCTACTCTGATAAGATCAGATAATGGAACCCATTTTGTAAATGATGTGATCAGCAAAGTATCTGAAGCACTAGGTTTCAGTTTAAAACACCATTGTGCCTACCATCCACAGAGTGCAGGATTAGTGGAAAGAACAAATGGCACTATAAAACAAAGGCTCAGGAAAACAATGGAAGAAACTGGCAGACCATGGCCAGAATGTGTAGGCCTAGTCAAAATGTGGATGAGAATAACACAAGGAAATAATAAACTGTCCCCATTTGAAATTATACATGGGCGACCTTTTCCACTGCCAGTTATTAGTGAGCCACTAGATAAATCAGTCTGTGAAACCACTCTGGCAGATTGGATGACTCAATTGTTGACAAACAGAGATGTTGTTTTGAACAATAAACTGTCGCAAGATTCTTCTTCTATTTCTTGCAGGTTGAAGCCGGGTGACTGGATCCTTGTCCGAGTACTCCAAGGAAAAATTGGAGCTCGCCATGGTGGGAGGGTCCAGACCAAGTGCTTCTGACTACTCCAATTGCCTGCAAAATAGCGGAAAGACCTTCCTGGATACACCAAAGCCACTGCAAGAAAGTTGAGGTCCCAGAGGATTCCACTTCCTTCACAGAAATCAACTAGTAAGGGAAAGTTTCACCCTCGCTTGGTTGCTTCAGTGGTGAGGATGAAGTGCTGATTGAGCATTGCTCGCACTTCCACCTCCAGCCATTGACCAACTCTAGGGTAACCAAGTAGTAGAGTGTGTAGTACGCAGCCATGGGAAGGTGGACCCTCTTGGTTACCTTGACTACGATGCTCACCCTTACAGGGCCCCAGCTGATGCCAACAACTCCTGAACCCCAAGGCAGACAGAAAAGATAGATGCATGACAACTCCCACCTAAGAGACATGACACAAGACCATATCCACCCTTGGATGAATAATGCCTGGTACGACAGGACCAGGGCAGAATCGGAAAATACAGACTGTTATGTCTGTTCTTATATGCCCAGCACCTCGACACACCCTACACTATATGGAGGGTTACAAGAAAATCACCATTGAAGACTTTGTACTTGATAGCATGTGATCAACTTTTCTGGATCAACTTCAATGTGACAAACCGGAATACATCCATCCATTTCCCAGTGTTCTTGGACCAAACTCCAGGGAAGAACCACTCCATGTGCTATAAACAAAACAAAGGTAACAGGCCACTTGGAAACATCACTAACTGCAACCGGGCCGCTGGAGGAGGAGAAGGTGCCCCTGTGAACACGACTGGACCATCTAATGGCACATACTGAGTGCAAGGCATCACCTGGCAATGTGGACAACGGGCATGTTTCATACTGCCCCCAGGCTGGACAGGAACATGTGCTCCCACATTCCTGTCAAACCACACTTTTAGGATGACCGCAGTAAACACCACTTCTACAGTACGCCGGAAAAGAAGATCAACGCCCCCTGAAATTCAACCACATGACCCAATATGGGGAAGCAACGTACCCAAGGAATTCAAATTATGGACTACCGGACAGAAAATACTCCATTCATTGTTCCCCTGGGTGGGAACCGGAAAAAACATGCTGAGGATTGAAACTCTGGACTACCGTTTTGGACTTTTCTTGAACGCTTCGTGCAAGATTAATAAACAGCAGAATCAGGAAATCAATGCATTACGAATTGCAGTGATTCAACATCGAGTAGCTCTGGACATGATACTAGCAGAAAAAGGGGGACTTTGCGTCCTCTTCAACAACACCTGCTGCACTTACATACCAGACAATGTACACTCATCAAACATGACTGACGCCCTGAACGCCTTGAAACAGATCCAGCAGGCCCAAAATCAGGATTATGTGTGTAATACAAGTGACTGGTTTTCTTGGCTTTACACTGGCTCCTGCTACAGGTGCTAAAAAGACTACTCATCGGAGTTGGAACATTTTTACTTATTATTATTATTTTGTGTTTTTGTAACATGTATCCTGTCATGTTTAACACTCATGATTAACCACATAATTGTTTCCACTGTTGCTGCATACATAGCCGTGACAAATGATGATGATGATGACCCCGACCTGTTAGAACATGAAGACTTTGTGTGATTAATGATGATGTGACAGAAAATGTACGACAAGATGTTACAAACTGATATCTCACTTACAAGTTATACGTGACAACAGGAGGGAATGTCAATGGAAAATTGTACTTAGTAGTCAGTATAAGCTTTTAATGATATAAGTGTACATGTGATAGAATACTGCATGATGACCTTTTTATTACTTAGAACTGATTGGTCTTTATAAAACCTGTTCATATATTTTTATCTGAATCTTCCCACAGTGATAGTAAGAAGCTGAACAAGCAGTTCTGAGCTCTTACCAGGAAAAAGGGCTGCTTCCCACATTCCAACACACACACACACAATCACATACGCACATGCTCACGTATCAACATTCCACTGAACAAATGTATTCATTATTGTATTACTTTTCTCGTGTATAAATAAAGACAAGTGCAAGAACAGAGCGCACATCACAGGGATCCCACTCTGGTGTGAGCGCTCTGTGACTGGCCTTGCAAGTAGAAACTGCAGCGTGTGTCTTTCTACTCTCTGACTCTCAGCTGAAGAAGTGTCTTTTAGAATGAATCTCTTGACAGGACTAAAAAAATAAAACTTAATGTTTACTTTAATTACAATTGATTAACAAAGATAAGCGTGAAAAAAGAAGCATTTCTCTTTTTGACAATATCTGGGATACTTGAGAAATAGGTCTTGGAATAATACATTCAGGAAAAAATGGAAAACTTTAAACTTTGACTTAGAGTCTGAACTCTAAAGGTAAAGTCTGCAGAGACTTTGTTCCAACGGCACAGCTGCAACCAAAACTGACTTTGAACTTTGACACAGGCTGGAGAGGACACAGCTGTGTTTGGGTCATTCATTGTCAGTTGAGCTGAGTGAGAAGTGGATCGGAAAACATCCGGACAGGAAATGCAGCTGTGGAAAATCTGAGACACCAGCCCAGTCCAGACTGTCTGTACTGATCGCGCTGCTAAGAGAGAAAGCTCTTGCATCCAGGCTGGTTACCACGTTTGACCGGGAGAGGGCAGCAAAGAAGCTTCATAGTCTTTGTAGGGAAGAGGTGTGTTACCGTGTCCCGTACAGTGGGGGCGATAGAGGGCTATTTTTTCCACACAGGAAGAAGAAGAAGAAGAAGAAGAAGGGTCCCACTTTGAAATGTTGTTGTGTCATGTGTTGAAGAAGTGAATTTGTCACTTAAAGAGTTTTCTGAAGCTCTCTAATAAAAAAGGAATCAATCAACCGTTAGATTTACCGCAAACCTTCGTGTTTACGCTGAAGTTTAAAGCGGGCTCGTGCTGTTTGTGGATGGCTGTAGTTAGCTTACTTTAGCTAACAGTGATGTCCTCGTCGTGGACAGAGCGCCAGGGAGAGGTGGGAGACCTGGGACACCTGAGTAAAGAAGAACTACAGGAACTGCTACTCCGACAAGAAGGGATCCTCAGTAACAAGTAAGTTTAACCCTTAGGTTGTATGAGAGAAGCGTGACACTTATGCGCACGGCCATCCCGTTAGCTTTGATCCGGTTTGGTAAAGTGACTTCTATGTGTTCAGGAATATGCCCTAAAACTAAGACAGATGATCTACTGACGACGTGTTTATATAAGTCCACTTTGGCTCAGGTGAAAATATGAAATGCTTTTTGTAAAAAACGATGCACGGGCGACACTACTCTGCTGTAACATGGGGTAAAAAAACAAACACTCGCGGCCACTTTAGGTACACCTGTTTCGATTTCTGCTGCAACAGACGGTGCGATCAGACATTGGCTTAAACATGAAAGTATGGATGCATGCTGCTTTGTATGAACAGTTCAGGGAGCTAGTTGTGGTAACAATAATGATGATGATGTCAGGGACATTTTCTTGACACGCTTTAAGCACCCTAGCACCGGTTGAGCATGATTTAAACTCTGAAGCCTACCAGGGTATTGTCAGTGACCATTTCCATACTTTTGATCCATCTTCCTGTTTTCCAGCAAGTTTGTTATAGTTAACTAAAACTAGATGTAAAAAACCAAAACATTTTATTTAACTAAAATAAAAATAAAAAGTAGACCATTTGAAAACGATAAACTACCATTATTATTAATACCATCAGAAACACAGAAATCCTCTTTCTGTTTAACTAATATGGGAACACCTTTACAGATGCAGTTAACCTATAACAGCAACTGCTGAGGATACTTAGACATTTACACTGCCAGATTTAGTCACTGAGGCCAAATGGCACTAATAGGAGTGTTCAGTTTTACGGGTGATTTACAAATGTGGGGCTGTTTTCTGAACACGGGTGCAGTCATTTCAGAATAAGGTGCAAATTTATTTATTTTTTATTTTTTTTCAAACCTCAAATATGTAGTTAGTAGTAAAACACATGTTGCTGGCATTGGTCGATCAGTTTATATGCTTTATTTAAATGTTCTCCTCCCTATATTTCACACCTTGATAAAGAAACTCTTTTTTTTTTTTTTTAAATACTTTTTTTTAATGCCAAAACCCACTTGTGCTGGTGCAACATGCTGGTAAATCTGGCCTTAGGTTTTCATCACTGCATCAGATGCGTCATACTGCCTCCATTTGTATCTTTCTGCCAATTTACTCAAAAAATTATATATAATTTGTTGGAGTGCATCAGTAGTTTTCTGTGTTACACTTGCACCACATAATATTTCCAGACAAGTTTTCCTGGATTTTGTTCACATAATGTAACATAATATGTTTAAAAAAAAAAAAAAAAAAATTCTTATCAAAAATGTGATTGTATGGGAAGTAGGACCATGAAGTAGATCAGTATCAGCTTTGGCTGCCATTATCAACAATTAAGAGGAAAACATGGCATGAAAGACTTTTATTTGGGGTCAGGGAGGGGTTACAGACATGTATGTGTCTGACATTTATTGTTGCTCTCGTTGTGTATTGAAATATTGCTTGAAGTATACTTTTTACAATGATGTGTTTGTGTTGTTTGCAGGAAGTTATTGCAGACGCTACCTGACAAAGGGAAAAAGATAAAAGACTTTGCAGATAAAGTGCGTCTTGCCATTGATGATCACAGTGAGGAGGAGAGGAGACGAAGCCTAGTGTCTGTTGCGAGGACAGAGTTACAGTCCAAGTACCAGCAGGCTTTTGCTCACCGGCGTGCTGCCTCCATCACACCAGCAGCCTCGCATCAAAACAGGCAACATGACGCTGCTGCAGGTGATGCTGCACAGGAGAGCGAGACCTCACCTGCCTCAGCTCAAGTGCAAGAAAACCACACTTTGGACGAGCAACGAGAGCCGTTTGTCTCCGGAGCGACTGCTGTGGAAACCATGGAAACGGTGGCTCGTGGGGCCTCTCTGAACTCTGATGAAACAAAAGAGGGTGACCTTGTGGAGGCCCTGGAAAGGGTCACGCTGTCTGGAACTACTACTGGTGGCAGCAGCGTATCCAAAGAGCCATTAAACAGCAGTGCAAGAGACAATTACTTTCTCAGAAAGCAACCACCAAAGAAGCCTCACTATATAACTGTCCTGGAAAAAACAGAGAAGTCTGCAGCTCCCAGGAAGCAAAAATTTAAACCAAATCAGTGAGTGGACTTTATTTACTGTTTTCTGAACATTTCCAACAAAAATGCTCCAATAATCCAGATTTTATACAGTAAGACATTTGACATAGTTTGCCATTCTGCCTTTTTGTCCTCTGTGTAAGTTAACTGAGTATAAATAATATGCACCTTAATGTGTTTCCAGGCTGCCTCATAGAAGTGACATCTCTCCATCAGGATCCTCGTCACCCAGTCAGTCCTCTGAAGGCTCATCGCCGCTGTCTGTGCAAGCCAGGAGGGAGCGGGACAGAAAACACCTGGATGACATCACTGCTGCCAGACTCCCCCCTCTCCATCACAATCCAGCCCAGCTCCTATCTCTGGAGGAGTCAGCTGCACTGCTGAAGAAGCAAACCAAGAAGCAGCTGGTTAGTGAGGCCGAGTGCCCTTCTAAGGAGGCTAAACAGGCTGGGTGGAAACAGCCAGTGCCTCCCTAGATCACTTAGCAATATGGTTCAACCAAAGCTGTTCTGAATGTCTCCTTTTATACAAGAAATACATTTTTAATAGACATAAATTTTATTTAATATTTGGTAAAAGAAAATTAAGTAATTATCTGAACAACAATCATGTTTATCCTCTTGTCCTTTGTGCCATAAATTCAATCAGCATCTTACACTTTGATTCTCACTATTTTTAAAAAGTCAGGACTTTTATTGACAGCTGATACAATGGTGGGTTAGCATCGTCACCTCACAGCAAGAAGGCTGGTTTGTGGAGATTGCATGTTCTTGTGTCGTGCGTGGGTTCTGTCCAAGTACTCTGGCTTCCTGCCTCAGTCCAAAGACATGCTGGTGATTCCAAACTGAGTAGCTACTGCAGAAAAGAAAACTTTAGTGCAATAAGTATTTATAAAGGGATGAAGTCTCAGAGAGCTCGTTGATGCTGTTAATAGCGAACACTTAGGATGCTTTAATTTAATTAAGAATTAAACCTTTTAACAGTTATTATTAGAGAAAGCTGAATGAGAGTATAATAATAATAATAATAATGGATTGGATTTATATAGCGCTTTTCAAGGCACCCAAAGCGCTTTACAATACCACTATTCATTCACTCTCACATTCACACACTGGTGGAGGCAAGCTACAGTTGTAGCCACAGCTGCCCTGGGGCAGACTGACAGAAGCGAGGCTGCCATATCGTGCCATCGGCCCCTCTGGCCAACACCAGTAGGCGGTAGGGTAAGGTGTCTTGCCCAAGGACACAACGACCAGGACAGAGAGCCCAGGGATTGAACCAGCGACCTTCCGGTTACAGATGCGCTTCCCAACCCCCTGAGCCACGGTCGCCCCTATAGAAGAGTATTACATAAGACAAACATAGGCGCTCCTCTATGCTTGAAACTTGAATTCATATAAAACATATTTGTTCTTCCACATTGTCCTAAAGCGTCATTAATGGAAATGCCATCTCTCATCTTCTGTTAAAATATTATCACAATCAGTTCATTGATTTCTTTGTTTCTTCTGATGGAAATCTTCAGGTAAAGGCTGCCCTGCTTGAGACGCTTTCTTGTCTCTAGAGGGCAGCATTCAAGCAGCGTCGGGACCGTGTACGTCACACACTGTGCTGTTGTCAACTTATGGAGGCGGTTGAGCTCATTATCAGTCCTACTTTTGTTGAGAGTTTAATAGCAGTGGCTGTGCTGCTTTATAATAATGTGCTTGTCTTCTGTTTACCAGCCTATTCATGTCAGCTTTTTCTCTGTCTGGTGTTTAATTTCAGGAGTTGCAGGCCAAGCTGGCAGCCCAGAAACTGTCTGAAGGATTGAAGATCTCTATGGGGAGCTACACTCCTGACGGTGCCCCCATGGCTACCTACAGAGAGGTTCACGATGAAGGAGCACAGCTCTCCTCAGAGGAAGACTGATCCTGGAGGGCCAGCTGGGGAAACCAGTGTGACCTTGGCCCTGAGGGAAAGAGGCTTTGGACCTTGTGATCAGGACCCATCAGACAGGATTTTCACTCCAAGGGCAACAATTCTTCAGAGAGGAAAAGGGTCTTTTGCATGGTGTGAAGGAATAGTCGGTATCCCAGACTCAGCTCAGGAAATTGAATGACAGGTTGAGAAACTAGCTTACTTAATTGTCATTCAGTCTGTAGTGGGTTCAGTTGTTTCAGCGTCCTGCAGGAATAACAACACCTTCCGCTGACTACGACGCTTAAGTGCTAAATTTGAAACATGTGTCATGTGGGAAAGTGTTTCTTGTCAGCATGCTTAGACTGATGACATCATGGCTTTCAGATCCTGGGAGTGCTGAGGTTTCTGTTTTTAGTATTTTTAATAATTCAATTCACTTAAAGCTCATCAGTGGTGACTGTTTACAGCTTTGTGGAGAAGCAGACGTGAGCCTGCAAATAGTTATGTCAAACTTCAATGTTACAGAATGTGTAACATGAACAAATAAATCATGTGATTTCCTAAATGCCTGTTTGTTGTTGTTTTTTTAAAAATAACATTCAGCGTTTTCATGGCATCAGTTTTCTAGAAAAAATTATATTTAAGAGATAAACTTTATTTAATTAACCTGACCTGAGTAGTCTCTTCAGTATAAAATTTTAAAAGTCAGGTCAGTGAAATAAAATACAGGTACTGATGGAGTAAATTGTATGTTGCTTGTATTGTATACATGGTGTAATTGCTGTCTCAGCTTCATTGGCTGTAGTGTGATCAGTGTGATACACCTTTTCATCTACTTAATGTAAATGTAAGTCCATGCATTTAAATTTGTGGACATAGTCAAGATGATCCGAGTATTGGGGTGAAGAAGAAATGTGACTTAAAGTGACTTTGAATGTTGCAGACAGGCTGGTCTGAGTATCTCAGAAATTGCTGATCTGATGGGATTTTACTACACACGAGACTGCTTTGAGCTGGTAAGAAGGCAACAGTACCTCAAATAACCCCTTGTTACAACCACGGTGTGCAGAAGAGCATCTCTGAACGCAAGGCATATGGAACCGTGAAGCAGATGAGTTACAGAAGCAGAAGACCACAGCAGGTGCCACTCCTGTCAGCTAAGAACACAAACCTGAGGTTCCAGTTCACACAGTTACACCAAAACAGGGCAATAGAAGACTGGAAAAACTGCAGCATTCAGATCGCATGGTCAGAATTGGTGTAAACTTGAAAGCATGACTGTATCTTGCCTTGTATCATTGACTCAGGCTGGTGGTGGTTTTGCTGTGGGGACTATTTTGTGACACTTTAGGCCCTAAAGTACCAACTGAACATCATTTAAACACCACAACCTAGCTGAGTATCGTTGCTGATCATTTCCATCCCCTTTATGGTCACTTCCGACCTCCACAGCCACCAGATCTTAATCCAGTAGAGCACTTTTGGATGTCGTGGACCGAGAGATTTTCGTCATGGATGTCCAGCTGAAGAATCTGCAACTGCGTGCTCAACTTTGTGATGCTTGTTGAATCTGTGCCATGAAGAGTTATAACAATTCTGAAAGTGAAAAGGGGTCCAGGCTGCTACTAACAAGGTGTACCTAACAAAGTGTCCAGCGAATATATATTCATTCTGATAACGAGAACAGAAAAAGCATTAATGTGGTAATGTTCAGAATGATGTTCATGATGTTACGAGAGTTAATGTCTGGGGACTAAATGTCATATTACTCTTTGCTCAAATGTTAAGTGTAAAACTCCACCACAAAATTGTGATCAAGAACCGCAAAGAGATCATTCAGGGTTAGCTCATGCTTATTTTAGCAAGAAAGCGCCAAACCACACTCTGCACGTATTACAACAGCGAGCCTGCCTGCCACACTGGCCTGTTTGTTTCACAACAAACCACTTTGCTTTCAAAACTACCACAGTGGATCTCCACCATTCCCAGAATTCCAAGAATCTCGAATATGTGATGCAGCACAGAGGAAACTGGGTTTTTTTTTGTGAATTTGGACATTTATTTGCTTTTCTTGACACCACTTTTTTTCATTATTATTTTTTTTTTTTATTTTGTTTGGAAAAAAAAGTTGTGTATAGTGTGTATTTTCCATAATCTTGATAATTGTGAGATGAAGGGTGTTTTCTTGACATTTTTATCTCCACTTCCATATGAAATACAACCTTCTACTCGGATTAGGTTTCACTATTTTCCGAGTGTTAAAAAAAAAAGATCCTAGCTATTTTATTGTTAGGCTTCCAGCACATTAGTTAATTTATGTGCAAAGGAGATCTGCAAGGTGATATAAATTTCAATTTCTAGTGAGACTGTGGTCAGCTGCAGGCACTGATAGACTGAAATGCTGTGAGATGTTATCAGGCAGGGATCTGTCTCACACTTGATAAGATTAATGGAGGGTAGTGAAATATTAAAGCTTGATGGCTGAGACATCTGGAATGCATTTGGATCATGTTGTTGCTGAGAATGGCAGGCGATGATGGGACGGCAGCGGGCTAATGCAATATGGCAAACACCATTTCTCAACGTTGCTAATATGTGGCAGATAAGAAGTGCCAGCTACGTTCAGCATCTTTCCAAACTGCCTTTCCCATCATCTTTCTTCCAACTCGCTGTGAGGACTGCAGACCATCGTAATTTAAACAGTCTGATTCTGGGATTTTAATGAAGAAGAAAGGGGAGGAAAAGGCACAGAGGCACCTTTTTAGGGGAACTGAGGGCGGGTTCATGTAGGTCAGAGACTGGTGGTCGATGCCCCTTGATAACCTTTTGTAATTGCTGCTGAGGCATTGGTGGGAGATGTTTTAGGAAAAAAACCCTTCCACATCTGATTGCTATGTATTTAGACACTGTATCTGATGGGCTGCAGAATGGCCCTGTGGTGATGTCCAATAACAAAGACATATGCACTCCTCCACAGAGGATCCTCATTGTGCTGGGATTAATTACAGCCTACCTTGCTTACATAAATTTAGAGACTGTTACCAATTACAGGGCACATTTTTGCCGTAGCTTTTCTCTGTGGTATCTGGCGTCAAACCTGAGTCTGCACGTAGGTTGACGTTGTTGAGGTGGAACCAAGCTCACTCTATAGTCAAAGCTTTTTTTCTCTTCTCTTTTTTTTTTCTAAACGTTGCCCATTGATGAGGAGGTTGTTTATACTTCAGCTTGAATCCCAGACCCCTTGACTCAGATTAATAAGCTCCTCATGAAGTAGTCTGCAAGTGATTTGCTCCAACTCCGAGTCCGAAATCACACGTCCTGCGGGAATAGAAATAATTTGCTGTTTGGGAGGGGAAACTGGAATGTGATTTCAAAACTGCTTCTTCAAAGAGCAGTCAGCTCGGCCTTAAATTAGATATACAGTATGATGTATAGACTGGCGTTAAACACGAGTTAGGCCCTCAGCAGAATGATTTGATTATATCTGCCAGGTTACGAAGTCTGAGCTCATAGTTTTTCCATTCTCTGATGCTTTTGTCATATTTTTTCAGGGCACACGAGGAGATGAAATAATGCAGCACACAGCAGCTTTCTGTAGATAAGGTTACAGCCTATCTTCCTATCCCAATTAGAACCAGCTCTCCCTCATCTAGTGCACCAAAACTGAATCAAGTGAATCAAGCGTCATGGCTGGCTTGCCAAAAAGGTGGATGGAGATGTTGGTCTGCTTGTTCAGAACAACTGTTTGCCACTGATAAATGCCAATCAGCCTCACCAAAGGACATATCCATATTACTTTGTGGTTTTGTAACCTTCCCTATAGCAAATAAATTACAATATGTACAAATGCATTCATGTTTCCTGTGAATGAGGTAGCAAGCTTCTGATATTTAAACCCCAACCGACCGGCTCTGAGCCTGGTTCTGTTGTAAGTGTCTTCCTGTTTTAAGGGACTTTTTCCTTCCCACTGCCACCAAGTGCTTGCTCCATGAGGTGACTGTTGGTGGTATATAAATGAAATTGAACTGAACTGATGACCACCTAAATGTTTAAGTAGTATTACAGTTGGCAGAACAACAGCATGAACCGGCATTGTGCTGTCCCACTGCAAAGCTTTAGCTCGTTTGTAACCTAGCAACTGTGATTAAGACAGCATAAAGAATGATAAACACAGAAGAAATAACTTTATTTAAGAGTAAAATTATCATATATGTTTTATATGTTGTTACAGTCATGGAACAAAGAGAGTTTTCACAGGACAAAGCAAAGTACACCCTTACTTATGCAATTAAAAGGGTAAGTAGCTGCCAGGTGCTGATAATCAAATGCACTTCATTAGCTGATCATCACCGAGCATGATTGCCTCTATAACTGCAGAAGCTTTTGCAGTTTTCCCGTCTGGAGCATTGTGGTCTTCCCAAGAGTCCCAGCAAAATAACCCCAAGGTCAGATGAGGAAATGCTCAGGGGAAGTGCCAAAGAACCCTAGAGCTACGTTTCTGACACTTAGCATGTTAAATGTTAAAGTTAATGACAGTGCAATTAGAAAAAGGTTGAAAAAGTATGGTTTGCATGGAATAGTTGCCAGGAAAAAGCCTCTTCTGTCTGAAAATAACATGGCAGCATGGCATGGGTTTGCAAAGTTGCATGTGAAAAAAGCACAAAACGTCTGAAACCATGTCTTTCGGACAAACAAGACCAAAATGGAAATATTTGGCCATAGTGTACAGCACCACGTTTGATAAAAAAACAAAAAGCATATCAGCACAAACACCTCATAACAGCTATCAAGGACAGTTGTGGAGGTCTGATGATTTGGGTTTGTTTTGCAGCCACACCTGGGCTCCTTGAGGTCACTGTGTTGACCATGAACTTGTCTGCATATCAAAGTATTCTAGAGTCAAACGTGAGGCTATCTGTCTGAAAGCTAAACCTTGAATTATGCAACAGGACAATGATCCCAAGCACAGCAGCAAAACAGCAGAAGGGCTGAAAATGAAAGGAATGAAGGTGTTGCAATGACCCAGTGAAAGTCCAGACCTCAACCTGATTGAAAAGCTTTGGTGGTACGTTTAGAGAGATGTGCATAAATGAATGGCAAAAAACTTAATGAGATGAAGCAACATGTAGGGAAGACTGGGCTAAAATTCCTCCATAATGATGTGAGAGACTGATAAAGTTACACAGAAAATGATTAATTCAAGTTATTTCTTTTAAAATTTGTTCTAAAAGCTACTGAATCATGGGGTATTCTTTCTTCTTCTTCTGTTTTTTTTACAGAACTGCAGATAGCTATATGAAAACTTTTCACTGTATAATTTGACTGTATAAAATTTGGGAATTTTAGCTTCATATGTCAAACAGTAGATTGATTTCAATTTTAATTTCTATTTTTCAAAAAGGTCCATGTAACTCACTTTCAGGCCTCCCTTTTTCTTGCACACTATGGCAATATGTGAAGACAAATATTATAAAAGCCATTGCCGATAAGAGCCTGAAAATCGTACTGGATTTTCTTTTATCTTTAATAATTTTTGAGATATTCATGTCTAAACGCTGCTGGACC